GAAAGCTACCATATTAGCATTACCAATGATGTAACTGAGTCAAAGAAATTAATAACTTGTCCAAATGGGCTGTAAAAGGTATAAACAGGGCTAGAAAGCAGAAGTCTTTGACTCCTAGATCAGTATTTTTTCCTACTGAACATTACTCATTCTGATATTTTTCATTTAAATAAAGAAGCTATTAACTAAAATATATATAAGGAATATAGTACTCATACATGCAAAACATGGATGAATCTCAGAAACTTTATACTAAGTCAAAGAAGCCAGGCACGGAAGAACACATATTACATGGTTCTTATTATATGAAATGTCCAGACTGTAAATCTATAGAGACAGAAAGTAGATTAATGGTTGGGTGGCAGGAGGCAGATAAATAACAGAGACACTGTTAATGACAGTGAGTTCTGTTCTTAGGTGACAGAAATGCTCTAAAATTACATCATGGTGATGGTTAGTTAACTATAAATATACTAAAATCACTGAATTATATACTTAAAATGGGCGAATTTTATGATATTTAAATTATTTCTCATTAAAGCTATTTTTTAAAATTCAATAAAGGTGAAAAAATATTATAGGCAAAATAATGTCATTAAAATATCTGCATATTACTTATTATACCAAAGAGCATACTGGGGGTGGGGGGGAAACATTGAAGTTTTTTTCACTTGGAATAAATTTGAAAGTTGGTCAAATAAGTTTCTGGACAAAAATTAATGCTGAAGTAATTTATCTGAATTCTGTCTTCCAATATTTGTGACTGCTGACAAAAGTAAAGGACACTTTATTCTATGAGGTGGAAGGAAACCATTTAAGTGGACTGATTTGTGGGTCACAGTGACCTCTGAGTGGAATATTGTCAACTGAGATAAATTGTGCAATTTGGAGGTTATATTAGTGTGACCTGAACATAAAATTACAAAACTTATGTAAATAAACCTTTAAAAGTAAATTTAGTCTTTAAATTTTATTTCATGTTTATTTTCCTATGAAAAAGGATTACATTTTGGCATTAAGAGTTAGACTGCTATTGACAGTCTATTATTTACTCCTAAACTAGTATTAAACCATATGCACCAGTTATCACTTGTACTTAAGTTTTTAAGTGTCTATATTTCAAAGGATAAATAAAGAGAAAGTGTGGGGAAAACCAAATTAAAAGTATTTTACATAGAAAATTAATGATCATAAAGACTATATACCTGAATCAAAGTTGAAATTGTTCAAGGTTGATTTAAAATGAAAAAAAAACACACATTTATTTAACTTCGGAAATGAGACAATTATATCAGAATTAGAATCAGAATTACAGTGTATTAAAGCCTAAAGGGGTCTCCAAAGACTGTAAATACAGTGTATTATAGTCCAACAAATCAGTTGCCTAGGTGTGAACACATTACCCATCAGGGCTAAGTAGCATGTCAGAATCATCTGGCTAATGTATGTAGGGTCATCACCTTCTAATTCTTGGCCTAGAAAGCTTTCAATTAGTACCACATTATTGGGGGCAGAGGCTGGAAGACATAAAAGAGGTATACTTATATAGCTTAAAATAGAGAAAGATATTCTAAAAGTGAATTCTAAAAATAACAGGTATGGGAATAAAATATAAATATAAAATAGTATATAAAATATTAGAACAACTTTAAAAATGTATTTATAAGAAAACACAATGATAATATAGTATTCAGTGTAAGTTTAAAGTTTCAGGGTATAAAGATTATATTTCTCCAAACTCATTTTACTAAGCCACCATTACTCTGATACCAACCAGAGAGGATACTACAAGAAAAGAATGGGCCAATATCACTGATGAACACAGATAGAAGAATCCTCAATAAAATACCAGCAAACAGGGATTTGTTCCAGGATTCAAGGATGGTTCAACATCTCTAAATCAACCAATGTGCTCTACCACATTAATAAAATGAGAAATAAAAATTATATGATCTCCACAAATGCCAAAAAAAGCGATCGACACAATGCAAATCCATTTATGATAAAAAAATTCTCATCAAAGTTGTTGTTGAGAGAATGCACCTCAACATAACAATGGCCAAGGAGATGAGCGTAGGTGTTGGTTTGCTTTCACTCCCTGCCATTTACAAGCTGGGGGGAGGGGCGGGCAGACAGGCATGTTACCTTTCTGGGCCTTGATTCTTTCTTCTGTAAGACATGATACTTATACTGGCTTTCCATGGTCACTGTGAGAATTGACAGAGTTATCTTATATACAGTGCTAGCATGGTGACTAGTACACATTAGGTCCTTAAAAATGTTCTTATGGTTAGTCTAGAGCCGTGATGGCGAACCTATGACACGTGTGTCAGAGGTGACATGCGAACTCATTTTTTTGGTAGATTTTTCTTTGTTAAATGGCATTTAAATACATAAAATAAATATCAAAGATATACATCTTTGTTTTACTATGGTTGCAAATATCAAAAAAATTCTATATGTGACACGGCACCAGAGTTAAGTTAGGGTTTTACAAAATGCTGACACGCTGAGCTCAAAAGGTTCGCCATCACTGGTCTAGAGGCTAACCAAAAAGACATTTTTTAAATTATCTGGCTCCAATCACTTGATATTTGGAACACCTCCATTCATAGCTAATAGCTTAGTTTTGCTAAACCACTGCTTTTATCATATAATTCTCATGATTATCCATTCTCAATGATTCTACACTGCCTTCAGGAAAGGATGCATGCTCCATAGCCTTACTGCTAAGACATCCATTCCTCTGAGGTAGAGAGAAACAAGGTGCCCAAAACACAATTTTAAGCTTTTCCTTTGGGAAAATGGAGTGCCTGAAAACTTGGATTCACTTTGTAAACAGCATATGTTGTATTTGCCTTCAGTGCGCTAAGCCACTGGGATAATGACACACTAAAGTAAATTCACTTTGTTTTCCTGAAGTCTTAAAACATCTTTAATATGCCCACTTGCCTTACCACTCTAAATAGACTAGGAAGGAAGAAATGACAGTGGACACTGATCACAGACAAGCCATTGGCATAGTTACTAATAATTAGGCATATTTGCAACACAAGATAATAAAAAAAATTTATTGTGATTTTAAGAGAAATAAAAATTTAGACATTTATTATGGACAGTTGCTAACACACACACACACACACACACACACACACACACACACACACACAAATCTTTTACCTAGAACATCTTTTTGTAAGTCATGGCATCTGGTTTGCAGGTTCACTTCCTGTTGTTTAGACGCCTCAATCTGCTGAGACCTCAGAATGGCTGCATCTGACAACAACTTCAGGTTTTTCATTTCCTCTTCTAAGCATACCTTATTTCTGTGGGACGCCGCCAGACTTTTATTTAGTACCTCTATTTCTGTAAAGAAAATTCAGAGTTTACAAACAGACAACACTGAATTATAATGTTCAAAAAGTGACTATTTTCTTTTAGAAAGTTAAAATTAATATTTGAAAGCCAAGATGACTTTTTCTGAGAGCATAATGACACCAAATCCAAAGCTTTTGTGATTATTCTGAAAAAGAAAAAGAATTGTGTAGCTAACCTATGCATTATATCTTTTAGGTTTTTTTTGGTCTTTAAATTGTACTAAATGATAATTTGGCCTGCTTTTTAAATACTCACATAAATGAGTAACATATCTGTGTAATGTTCTGGAGTTTACTGAAATTAAATTGTTTTCTTGGCAACATGATTCAGAAAGGTAAATTTAAATGTGCTAGCATGAGCTGGCTGGATGGCATTTCTAGGAGAGTAACTAGGATACAGCTATACAAGTTGCATAAACTGATGAACGGAGAGGATCCAGAGACATGGAAGCATGGAACAGAGTGCAGAATCTCAGAGGGAAGGTGGGGGAGGGTGGCTGGGTGGGAGTTAATCAACCAAAGATCTTGCATGTATATATGCACAACCCATGGACACAGACAATTAGGTGGTGAAAGTCTGGGGTGAGGGGTGGGGTCGGAGATATATGTAATACTTTCAACAATAAAGAATTTTTTTAAAAAAGCAAATTTTGAGAAAAGATAGCAAGGGTGGAAAGGAATAAAAGGATGCCATGTCCAAAACTAATGAATTTATGGACATACAGAATTAGTTAATATATTGTAAAGATTTTCACAATTAATCAACCAAAGACCTGGCATGTATATATGCACAACCCATGGACACAGACAATTAGGTGGTGAAAGTCTGGGGTGAGGGGTGGGGTCGGAGACATATGTAATACTTTCAACAACAAAGAATTTTTTTAAAAAAGCAAATTTTGAAAAAAGATAGCAAGGGTGGAAAGGAATAAAAGGGTACCATGTCCAAAACTAATGAATTTATGGACATAAAGAATTAGTTAATATATTGTAAAGATTTTCACAATACTCTATCCCTTCAAAATGAGACCAGAATTTCATCATAGCAATCCTTTGTCATTCTCCTATCTACTTAGATCAATAAAAATAGGCCTTCACAAGCATTATGTAGATTTAAATGTACTAATTTCATATAATTTCATGAGAAACGCATGGAGCATGTTATCCTTCAGAATGATAATTTATTATCAAGCTATCTTTTCATCAGCCTATTTAGCAATGCTGACTTAAATCACAGTATTAAGATATACAAACACACAGAATAATGATAAAGTACTACAAAATTTGTACCACCACAATTAATTGAAATGATGAATATGTGAAAATCTGGACAGCCTGCTTTTCCAGAGAGTTCATTTGGCATTCCTTTCCTTGCTTAGGTCATTCTGGGCCACATGATGGGTGTAACGTGTGATAAGATGTCCAAGGAGGTTGGCTTGGTTTATTTGGTTGTAGAGCCATTACAGCAAAAATAGCAGCCCCACGGGCCAGTGGGGACCAGAAGTAGACTTCAATGGGACAGACCCGCAGCAGGTAACATGGCCAGGAAATGCTGACAGGAGAAGTAACGCAGTATGCTGGAACAGGGAGCAGAGGCCAGGGCACTATGTAGATGAAAGGAGCGGGATGAGTACAGTCAGGAGCACGGTCCAAGGAGAGAGAAGCAAAATGTCCTTCTGTGTGGAAAATGTTCGTCCGGAAGACACAGTGGCATGTAAGACAGACTAGGTTAGTGATGGCGAACCGATGACACGCGTGTCAGAGGTGACACGCGAACTCATTTTTTTGGGTTGATTTTTGTTAAATGGCATTTAAATATATAAAATAAATATCAAAAATATAAGTCTTAGTTTTACTATGGTTGCAAATATCAAAAAATTTCTATATGTGATACGGCACCAGAGTTATGTTAGGGTTTTTCAAGATGCTGACACACCGAGCTCAAAAGGTTTTGCCATCACTGGACTAGGTCATGAGCACAAAGGGTCTGGCACCTTTTGCACTTTTAATTCTTGCTCATAATGGAAAACTGGAGAGATAAATTGGCAGGAGCCATTGGGGTCTACCATATTCCAGTAATTACATAAAATATTTTTCCTAAGAACAGTTATATGCTTCTAAAAACTTACAGATGCACACACATTTGTGTGAGAAAAACATACTAGTACATAGAACTTTAGAAAGAATGTTGTAATTTTCTCCAGATCTGAAAAGTCTTCTTGCGAATTTTTATAGCCATAAAGGTGGCGTCTTGTGACTAACTTGTCTGTACTGTACTCTAACCATCTATGCTTGAGTCAGCATGACACCGCAGAGGGGCACACGCTGCCAGAACGATGTCGCTCAGGCTAGCAGGCTGACTGTTAGTGGGCACGACCCTTTGGCTCTAAACTAACTACTCGTGTCAACATGACTTTCTGTCTGACATTAAAAGAATAAGAATCTGCAATGCAGATTCATTTGTCAAATATATTCCACCACATGGGGAAGTACAGCAAGATTTCAAAACTAACAAGAGCTTCCATGTTTCTAACATGGAATTAAGAGAGTAAACTCAAGGGAGGTGAATTAACTCACCCACGGCGAACCACATATCCCTGTGGCAATCTGGTGTCAAATAGTCAATCCTACCTTGTCATTAACTCAATTTCATGCTTGTCAGTCACGTGTCCCAATTTGGGGTTCAGAAATTATGATCTCCACCTGACCAACCTATTCCAGTCATTGTTTCCACCTTGAGCTTTCCTTGTTTTAGTACCACCCTCTGTATCTGTCTGAATTTAATTATTAAAAATTTAAAAAGATATTGGTCATATACAAACTCATTTCTTGAAGGCATATATCATGTAACAAAATTAGGAAACTGAAGTTCTATGGTTAAAATTTCTTTTTTTCTAACATTGCACTATATAAAAATTTTAAAACATACAGAAAAGTGGGAAGAATTATATATGAACACGAATATATACACCATATAGATTCTTCAATTAACATTTTACTATGTTTGCTTTCTCACATAGCTACCCATCTATCCATCTATCATATTTTATGTATTTCAATATAAATTGAAACCTCAGTATACTTCACTCCTAAATACTTCATTCAGCATGCATATCAATAATTATCACTCAATATATAAATTCCTTATTTTTGAGTATAATTTACCTACAAAGAAATACACAAATCTCAAATGTAAAGTTTTTAACAAATGCTGTGTAACCCAAACCCCTATCAAATAGAGAGCGACACCGTCATAGCAGAAAGTGCCCTGCTGTCCCTTTTCCAGTCAACCCTCCACTCTAAGATAATTAATGTTCTGATTTATCTTCCTCTATAGAATTGTTTTGCCTAGTCTAGAACAGCCTATAAATGGAATCATACAATATGTGTTATTTGTGTAAGGCTAATTTTCAGGAAGTACAATATTTTTTAGATTTATCAAAGTTAACTCTATTATCAGCAATTCATTCTATAGTTCATCTTTTAAATTTCCTTTATTGATTAAGGTATTATATATGTGTCCTTATCTCCCCACCCCACCCCCAGCGCATGCTCTCAACCCCCTGGAGTCTGTGTCCATTGGTTATGGTTATATGCATGCATACAAGTCCTTTGATTGATTGCTCCTCCTTAATTCCACCCTCCCCTACTTTCCCTCTGAGGCTTGACGGTCTGATCGATGCTTCTCTCTCTCTGGATCTGTTTTTGTTCATCAGTTTATATTGTTCATTATATTCCACAAATGAGTGAGATCATGTGATATTTATCTTTCTCTGACTGGCTTATTTCGCTTAGCATAATGCTCTCCAGTTTTTTGAATATTTTATCTGTCTGTGACTTACCATTCATTTTCTTAATGGCATGTTTGATGAGCAGAAGTTTTAAATTTTGATGAAGTTTAACTTATCAATTTTTATTCTTCTGTAGCTCTTCATTCTATGTCCCATCCAAATAACTTCTATTGACTATCAATTTATGAAGACATTTTCCTGTTTCTTATAATTTTAGCTTTTGTACTTAATTATGTGATTTATGTTGAATTAATTTTTACCTACTATGTGATGTAGGGATTAAGGTATATTTTCCCATATGGGTGTTCAATTGTTACAGCACAATTTAGTGATAGGCTTTCTTTTTCCCATTGGATTGTTTGGTGCCTTTGTTAAAAGTGAAATAATCATATAAATAGGGGCCATAATCTGCCATCAGCATCCTATACCAGAGTGGTAAATTTCTCATAACCCATGAATCTGCACTGACACATTATCATCATCCAAAATCCACAGTTTACATTGATATTCACTCTTGCTGTTGTACATTCTATGGGTTTTAACAAATGTCTAATGACATGTATCTACCATTACAGTATCATACAAAATATTCACTGCCCTAAAAATCCTTTGTGATTCATTGCCCTACAAATCCTTTTTAGGTCTGAGGGAAAATTATAGCATTCTTTCTTTCTAAAGTTTTATGTACTTCATCACAATCTATCTATTCATCCTTCCCTCAAGCCCTGGCAATTACTGATCCCTTTTCCGTTTCCAGAGTTTTGCCTTTTCCAGAGTGTCATTTAGTTGGAATCTTACGGTACAGACTTTCGGACTGGCCTCTTTCACTTAGGAATATGCCTTCTCTCAATGTTTGACATTTTCACCATATGTGCCTCGTTTGGGTCATTCTACAGTATTTTGGGATATTTATTTTGTTCCAAATTTATCATTGTTATCTGTGGGAAGGCTGACCTAATATAAGCTACTCAACTATTAACAGAAGAAAAGGTTTTAAAATGCAAATCAGTACATTTAACAGAAATAAACAGACTTCTGACCGCAGCTCAAGAATAGCTGTATCACAGCTTACCTTAGACCAGCCTATATTTACTGAATGTCAGTGTTTCAATAGATCATAGTGACCATCTAGTCCAGGAGTGGGCAAACTTTTTGACTCGAGGGCCACAATGGGTTCTTAAACTGGACCGGAGGGCCGGAACAAAAGCATGGATGGAGTGTTTGTGTGAACTAATATAAATTCAAAGTAAACATCATTACATAAAAGGGTACGGTCTTTTTTTTTTTTTTTTTAGTTTTATTCATTTCAAACGGGCCGGATCCAGCCCGCGGGCCGTAGTTTGCCCATGGCTGATCTAGTCTCTCAGCCAATAACAAGTTTAAAAGTTCATCATAAGTCCCATCACATAAAATGCAGTATCAGTATTTTATTACTCACTATGTACTACTTACATAGAAAAAAGACAATTACATTACGTATGTAACAAACCTGTCAAGGCTGTTTTACTTATGTATTTAATTTGAAGAAAAACTTCTCCTTTCAGTGAAGTCCAGTTTTGAAAATGGTCATATATTTCATTTTTAATGCTGGTTATTTCCCTTTTAGTAAAAGTAAGTAATGAAAGAGTCTTATTCCAGAAATATTTGTATTCCTTCAATCTTTGACTGTAAGGTAGTAAAAACAAAGGATTTTAAAAATTGCAAGCACAGTAACAAATATTTCTTTAAAAAATAGTTTTCTTTAAAAAATGGGTTTAGAGTGACTATAATCTACTCTAAATAGGGACAATTTTGAAAGTGATGTGCTGTGTGTATTTTGCTGAGATGACAGATATAAACTGGAAACATCCCAGAAATCCTAAGGTATAAGGTTTTCCTAACTCATTTCCATTTTTTTAAATCATTTTAACTATAAAGACAGCTATTTTTATATGCAACTAGAGGCCCAGTGCATGAATTTGTGCATGGGTGGGGTCCAGCCAGCCCGGCCTGATCAGGGCTGATTGGGTCGGGCCGGAGGGAGGAGACTAGGGAGGTTGGCCAGCCCCAGGTTGAACTCCCAGTTGAACTCTCAGTGGAGGGGACAATTTGCATATTCGCCTTTTATTATACAGGATTATTATATAGGATGATTCTATTAATATTTTAAAATTAATTTAACAGCACATATTAAGTGAAGAAAATTAGGTCAAAAGTGACTTAGTCATAGAGCCTATATGAGAATGTTGGATTCCTAGATAGCATTCTTCCAGCAAACCATGGTTCCACAGGCAATTTAAAATCTGGGGTAATTATAACAAAACCTTTAAAAATGACTAATCCAGTGCTGCTTCACAAAATGCCATAGCTCAACGTAATCACAGCGATTTTTTTAAAAAACTTCAGATGTCCTGGCTATCATTTACCTAAAATCAAGGAAAATGCAGACACAGACCTGGGAGTTATCACCAAAAAGATGATGAGTGAAGCCATGGGGCTGTAATTATTTGGTTATTATTTATCCCCTGAGTAGACTAAGATCTATGATGCAAACACTATACATGTCTGTCTTGTTCATCACAATCTCCCTAGCACCTAGCACAGTACATGCTTACCACATATTGACAAATAAATAAATGAATGAAAAAAATAGATGACTCAATGGAAGAATGAAGAAGCAAGAAGTACTGAGGATAAAACAATGGACAACACTAACATTTATGGGACTTAAGCAGAAAAGAATCCCTCAAAGGAGACTCGGGAGGCACAACAGTGAGTTAGAAGAAAACCAAAAAAAAAAAGAAGAAAACCAAAATAATACTATCAGAAAAGACGGGGGATAAGACAATTTAAAGGAGAAAGTAGTGGCCAGTGTTTGAGGCCCCAAATAAAGGCTGACGAGACTCTATTGTATCTGGTATTAGGGGGCATTAGGTGATCTCAGAGAGAGGCATTAGGTAGGAAAGAACTGAACAGTAAAGCAGAAGTAAGTACACAGGGGGCTATGCAGTAGCTACAATTGAGAACACTGACTGAGGCAGCAAGAAGAGAAAGAGGACGATACAGAGCAAAATGGTGTGTTAGGATGGGGGACACCTGCACGTGTGTACACAGCTGGACACAGTATGAGTGCAGTCACATAGGCTAAACACAGACAGGAGATGCATTCATTTCTTGTGCAAAGTCCTAGAAAGGACGATGTAAAGCAGAGACTAAAAGATTAGCTTTTGCCAGGAAGAACAGGGGTGGTGTGATTCTGGGTGTTAATTAAGGCCCACCTAGTGATCAGAAGCCACAGGGATGCCTCAATCAGCAGGCAGAGCTAGGAGCCGAGAGAGAAGTTGATTTCGAAAAAGCACAGAAAGAGTCCAAATAGATCACTAACTGAAGAAAGCCAAAAGTGAGGATGGGAAATCTGAATGTGGAGCCAGAAATGGGCAGAGGCAGACAAGAGCTATGAACCACGTCAAGGTTAAGGGGCTAATGGGCCTGGTGTAAGGCAGCTGCTGGAAGCAGGCCCTGTACAGGCTCTCAAGTGATACAGAACAGACTGGATGAGGACGCAGGTGCCTCTGTCGGGAGAAAGGCAGGAAACAGAAAATTCAAGAGCAGATCCATTTTTGTGAGGCCTAAATCTTATATGATTGGTGGTGGGTCGGGGGAGGGCTTTCTCAAAAAAAAAGAATACAGAAAACGATGACGTACAAAATTAGGTTTAAAAGTGTGTAATTAGTTATAGAATGGGAAAAATCATTAAATTTAAAAATAAGAATTTTAAAGTTGATAAATTCCATCAATATCACAAAATAAAGGAAAACAATGTAATTTTTTAATAAGTAACAGTTCCATAATACTTTTGCCTATAATTTTTTGCTACATGCTCTATAAGTACCTCTTCATATGAGAACCATTTTATAATAATATTTTATATGGAGAAAATATAAAGATTATACAGCCTTTCATCTAGCATGGCTATTAGCTTTTTATTATTGATAGTTTAGAAAAATTCTTTCAGCTTCATAGCTCACTATTGATAATGTCATTTAAATACTAATTGCTGTCATACTTGGAAAAATCCTTATAAAAATTTTTTCATAGATGATTATAAGATTTTTGGCATTTCAAGTTTTTTGGGAAAATAACTAGTCTTAAATTATCTTTGAAAGAATGAAATGCACCCTAGCCAGTTTGGCTCAGTGTATAGAGCATTGGCCTGCAGATTGAAGGATCCAGGTTCAATTCCAGTCAAGGGCACATGCCCGGATTGCAGGCTCAATCCCTGGTGGGGGGCATGCAGGAGGCAGCTAATCAATGATTCTCTCTCATCATTGATGTTTCTC